ACGGTACATTTGCTTCTTAACAAAGTCATACTGATCTTCAGGCGATTCGAGTTGAAATTCCTTGATATTTTTAAGCTGCATTATCTCGATATAATTTGAATCAAGGAAACGGGACAGGATGGCGGTACTCAAATTTATTAAACATATTAAACAAAAAGGTTTTAACATTTAATTGTGTATTTTGAAAAAAAAACCCTAACATTATTTTGCAGGGAAGCCCACAAAATCTTCATGATGACTTCAATTCAGCTATTGGCACACAATATGACCTGGTACGAATGTTGAGAGTATAATATTTATTTAAATTAAAAAGCATGAAGCATATGTACCTAACACGATGAATTATGACAAATGCTTCATGACAATAATTATGCTGTGGTTAAAATATCTATATATCTGCTCATTCAGTTTCATGGTAAATATTGTAATCGTGCAGGTACTAAACGACGCAAGGTGTAGAGGTAGCACTACATCGAAACTTTATGAAACGCCTAATAATAGTAGTCTAAATGAGTTGTCTCATCGTACTTCCCAAGAAAGTTGCGCTTCTGATACTGATGGATCAGACGAAGATATTTATATTCCAGCATGGAAACGTTTACAAACAAAGGTAAAATATTTTATTTGTTAATATACTTACAAGGTGTATTGATTTTTTATGATTTGAAATGTAGTCATTTATTCGTAAAGACAATTTGTGGGCAACATTTTTATTTTATTTATTCAGTAGTATAACTAACCTTATACGTATGTAAAGGTTTTTTTCCTATGAAACTTTTTACTGTGATCTACAATTTAAATATTTGCTTGTCAAAACTGTGACTGTATACAAAATAGCATCATGCTTTAAATAATTTTTTATTGCAGGCTTTTGTGGATTCTGAGTTTTTCGAAGAATCCTCAGAAGACGATTCAGAGGATTGCGTGGATGAAATGCCAAAAAATACAACAGCATTAGTGTTATACTTAGAAGAATTAATAGAAAATTAAGAATCAAATACGAGTTTTTTCTTCTTCCTATGTTGTTACGAGATGTGAGATGCTGTTAGGTATAATGAGATTTTCTTTAAGGTATAGATTACCGTTTTCAGCCATTAAAGATTTATGTGCTTTATTTAATGCAGTTTCGAATGAGCCTGTAATACCAGACACAAAATTTAAAATCGACAAATTTTTCAGTAACTCTGACGGAGTAGAATATCATGCAGTGTGTCCAAATTGCGATATACATATTAAACAATTGGACCGCTCTGTCCATCATGTTTACTGTGATAGGTGTAAAAGTTCAATACATGTAAGAAACAGTAATGAAAATTTCTTTGTTGTTTTAAATCCAGAATAAGAAATTAAAAAACTAGTAGGAGAAAATGCAAACCATTACAATACAGTTATGAATAGATGTAACCAAGGAAATTATCAGGATATTTATGATGGCGCACTGTATAAAAAATTAAAGGATGTACTTCCCTTAACACAAACAAATTCTCACGCAACATGCGGTTTTAATAGCAACGGATTCCCTGTCTTTAAAAGCTCTACATTCTCTGTATGGCCAATACAGATAAGTATTAACGAAGTGTCAGTTGATTGTAGAAGTAAGCTAATAACGTGGGCCCTGTGGTTTGGAAAAACAAAACCGAAAATGAGTATCTTTTTAGACATGTTTGTTAAAAGTATAAATAATTTATCAGTTATGGGAATAGCATGTAATATCTCTACTGAAGTAAGAAATATTTATCTACATGCAATTTTCTGTTGCGTCGACTCCGTTGCGAGACCACCAATGCAAGGCATCATTCAGTTTAATGGTCATTACGGCTGTGGGTGGTGTTTGCACAGTGGTGAAATGGTATTACAAACAAAAAAAAAAAACTATGAAGTATCCTTTATTAGAAAATATTCCTTGTAGAAGAACAAAAGATCAGACCTTAATACACATAGAAAACGCAATTCATCCCATAGAACCAACTTTTGGCATGAAAGACGCGTCACCTTTGATTGAACTATATTATTTTAACATAATTGATAGCTTTACACCTGATATTATGCATTGCGTTTTTCTGGGAATTTGTCGACAATTCACAAACTATTGTTTCTCGCCTTCTCGTAACCCATATTCACTCCAAAAAAAAACCATTTTAGAAATTGATAAAATATTGGAAACGCTGAAATTGCCTAAACAAGTTGCTTACTAATCAAGATCAATAAAATATAGGAAGTACTGGAAAGCAAAAGAATTTGAAAATTGGTTACTGTATTTCAGTATTCCCATTTTGGATACGTTACAAAATTTTAAAGAGTACAGTAAACATTGGGCATTACTGGTAGATAGTACTCACATTCTAATGGGCGAATTTATAAAAAACCGACGATCTTTTGAAAGAAGAACGTAAACTAAAAAAATTCGTTGCATGGACTGAGTACTTATACTCCAAAAAAGGGATGACTTTTAATATGCACCAGGCTCTACATTTAGTTGAAAACGTTGCCAACTTGGGTCCCTCATGGAGTCACTGTGGATGTGGATTTAAATCTAGGAATGATAATATAGTAAGAGATATTAAGGCAGCTAAAGGTGTTCTCCATCAATTGTGTAGACGAATTCACTTTAAACGTAGTGCAGATACATAAGAAACACATGTGGCAAGCTTATCAGAGTCATCTCAAATAAGCAGATATTGTAATCAATTAGAAAATAAAATTACACAACATGTAATAAAACTTGGAGAATGTCGATACTTTGGTGAACCACGTATAGTTAAATATTCAAGTATTATTGAATTTGGTCTGTCTAAAAATCAAACATCTTGTTATCATAAAATGTTAAAAAGAGGTTGCATATCTTCAACAAGTAAGAAATCAAATATACGCACGAGTAACTGCCGTGCTCAAACAGAGTCAGGCTCATTCATTAAAATAAATCAGTTTTTAGTTGATACAGAAAATCGTAAGGAATTGACAATCTGAAATAAAAAAATAACGAAGCCTCTTGATATAGCAACTTTATCCACTCAGTGGTTAGTGTAGAGAACGAGAAAATATCAATAAGCACAGACACTATACAAAAAATTGCAGTTTATGTAGAAATAAAAAATAACAAATACATAACCACTGTGCAAAAAAAAAAGTATAGTATCAGCTAAAAAAAATTTTTACTCATTCAGTGATAACCAATAATAGATTTGTGGAATATGTACAGGATCTAACGTGTTGATATATGAATAATAACCCAATTACATGTAAACTATAACTTAAAATATTTGTATTTGTTACACATATATATAAAGGCATGATTAATCTATTAAATAAAATATAGTTCTATTTATGTTTTGTGCAAGCTTTCTTTAAAAATTAATCCATTCCAATTCTATTTTAGTTAGGTTATATATCGGGGAGAAGATCCTATAACATTGTATCCCGGGGATTTACGGGGCAAAATCTAGTTTACTAACAACCAGAGTTCAAGGAATTTACCAGAAATTGAACTCTCAATCCCTAAAATATCCTTTTCTTCACTAGCACTTAACGAGCCATTTTAGTCCTTATAGGGGTGGCTTTTAAAAATAACAGCTGTAATAATCATAGTTTGTATCTAAAAAAATATTAAAAATACATCAATCTGTTGTAAAAGCAATTATATATATTCCATATGAAATCTATTTGGAATTCGTATAGAATGCTTATGGAAAATCTAGCTTTTCACGTGCAAATCACTTGGGATGGGTTTCTATTCGATATCTATTTGCATCTTGGCCGAACCCAAGTAGAATCCATGTACGTTCCACCAAAAAATTTGATAAATTTTTATATGAAATCCGTATGAATTTCTAGAAGAAATCCAGTAGACACTTCTAATTGGGGAAATATATGATGATATCTATGTTCATAATCCGATTTATGGTAATTATTGTTGTGCAGATAATCCTAAAAGTTTTGATACAGCTGTAGGAAGTTTTGAATCTGATAATCGGGAAAATGCGATTAAAAAAGGAAGTAGATGTCAAAATTAAAATAAGACTTAGGTATTGGTAGATAAGTCAAAAGATAA